ATAAACTATCTTATTATTATCTTATACATCTGCGTGATATTATATATTGTTGTCTGAGTGACATTATACATCTGAGTAATCTTATAAAACTTGAGCGATTGTGTAAGGCTTTGTGAATTAAGGTAACAGTTAGGCCTTAGTAACAACAATAGTCGTGGTGAATCTTTGGAAATACACTAGTCTTAGTGAGTTATAATTAAATACGTTTGGGTGGAATCAATTATAAATCCAGAACTTGGAAATAAATCAGTAGATTACTATGTACATTAAAAAGAAACAACTCTCAAACACCTTGTTTAACTGTAGCAATCTACTAAAATCGCACATTAACAATAGAAAGTTTTACATAACAGTATAAACTTAAATTAAAGATCTACATAAATATAAATAACCTAAAATTTTATTTTTTTTTAATATTTTTATTCTTAATTTTTACAACAATAAATTTTTTATAAAGTTATTACCATCATTATTATCATCTGAAACAATTTCAAAATTTACAAGAACAAATTAAACTTTATTAACAAAAGTTAATACAATTAAAAAATAATTCTAATTTTACTCTTGCTTCAGCACTTCAACTCCAACTTTTATAGTTTTAACTCCAACTTCAATTGAAAATATCTTTAAACCAGTATTTCATAAAATTAGATCAATAAATCTAAGAATCAATATTTAATATTTATAATATTTTATAAAAATTTATTTATATAATTACAAACTGTTTTATATAAAACTACTCTATATATAGTATTACTAAATAAATATTTTATAAATCATAAAAGTTAAATATAAAAATTATAAAAAATATGAAATAAATATTTTAATATAAATATAAATAATATTAATTTATTTTATCTATTATTAAAATAAATTATTACATATATATTAATTTAAATACTTACTTATTAATATTTAAAATATTTAAATTTTCTATTAAATTAAAAAAATACATATTTAATATTAAAGTAATTAAAAATATTTTATATATTTACAAATTCATATATAATATAATAATTACCAATGTTTTGACTAATTTGAGAATTTTGAATTTCATAATTTAAAATTTCATTTAATTTTTCAGTAAAATTAAGTAAACGACTTGTATAATATACTTGTGAATGAGGTTTTATAATACTTATAATATTTTTGTTTTGTTTTAATATTTTATCTGCTTTATAAAAATCTATAATATTACTTTTAAATTTATTATCAAAATTTTTTGATTTAATATTTATATACCAATTTTCAATAAGTTTTTTAATTTCTAATGCAGTTGGTCTTTTTGATGGATCCTTATCCCAACATTTTCTTATTAAACTTATATAACATTGTGGAATATTATCAATAATTTTAGGACGTTTACCTTTACAAATACTTAAAGCTAATTTAAAATCATGAGCTTCATTATTAAATGGAGTAATTCCAGCTAATAATTCTCACATAATCATAGAAAAACTATAAATATCACTAGCTAAAGAATAAGGTTGACCTCTTAAAACCTCAGGTGCTACAAATGGTAAAACTCCATAAATATCATCTTTTTTAGATTTTTGAAAATACTTAACAGGTTTACATAATCCTAAATCACTAATAGATAAAATCTTATTTCTAATATTTAAAATATTACCATCATGAAAATCACAGTGAATACAATTTTTTTGATGTATTATATTAAGTCCACTAATAATATTATTTAATTGAAATAATTTAAAAATCCATCTATCCTTAACTATATTAAATAAATTATTTCTTAAATTACTATTCTTTGCATATTTCATTACTATCATATAATCTAGAGTATTTGGATT